GTTTGAATTTACCGCTCGATAAAAGTAACTTTATACTTTAATTGCTTAAGCTACAATTATCGTTTTCCGGAAAATTCTTATCCTGCCTTGGTTAGACTAGTTTCTAGTTATCTCTGTAGGTACTTATGTTTTATGTAACCTATTTTATTCTCGCATTGGCAGATCACTGTGATCAAAGTGAACCTAATAAATTAATGTCCAGTGGTTTTTGACAAAAATATGAATACTACTTCTTAGAAAAAGTTAATATGTTATTTTCGTATGATGATATTATGAAATTAAATTAGGTAAGGCATGTACATTGATAAAAGTAGCTTAAATAGTAGCTTTCACTAATTCAAAATGTAGTTAAGTTACTAATAGCTTAGCTACTTTTTCAAAGAGGTAGTTGAGCTACTGAGTAACTTAGCTACTTACAATATAAAGTAGCTTGTAGCTTGTAGCTAGCTACTTTTTCCAAGTAGCTTGCCCAGCCAGATATGTTAGTATATTATATTTATGCAGAAATGATAGAAGTCTTTTCTTAACCAATCTTTCAATGATTTTGGATAAAGTAGGAAGAAGTGCAATTGGACGATAGTTCGACTCTTGGTCCTTATCACCTCCCTTGTGCAGAGGAATAATTATAGCCGTCTTGAGGCAATCTGGGAACACTCCTTGTTGAATAGATTTATTTATTAAAGCAGTGAGGAGATTTAATGTACACTCCGGTAAATTGAAGAACATTTTTAAAGTTAGTCCATCAGTCCCAGATGACACTTTGTTTTTTATGTCTTTAATTGTGCTGAAAAGCTCTAGTGTTTCTACGGGTGTTGGAAGAAACTGTGTAAATTCATATTGGTACTGGAAAGATATGAAAGCGGATCGCGAGAAGGAGCTATAGTGGTCATCAAATAATTTTTTGCCGCATTTACAAAGTAATTATTCAGGTTCTCAGGGGAGGTAGAGGTTATACTGGAAGAGATAGCCTTATTTCTCAAGTCGTTGACAATATACCACGTTTCTTTGGCAATAATTTCAGTTCTAGCGAACCGGTTGTTATAATAGGTTTCTTTGGCGGCTTTTATAGTTTTATGATAAATTTTTCTATAGAGTTTAACGTAATTTTGAAAGAAGAGACTGTCTGAAATTTTTTTTAGGTGTGACAATGAGCGCATGTTCTTTGCCGATGTCCGCAAGCCTGTAGTAGTCCAGGGTTTATGTTGCTTATTTTTGATAGGCCTGAGGGGAAATGCTTTGGAAGCCAAACCAGATAATTTATTTGAAAATGTTGAAAATGCATTATTGATGTCATCAGAGAGGCAACCCCAGTCAATTGTTTGACATGAGCGCTTGAAATTGAGGAAATTTTTTTCCGAATAAATTCGGCGAAACTTACTTTACTGGCGCGTTTACTATGTAAACGCATGGAAAATATGGGAAACTTGCAGTGTTTTTCTGGATTATGATTATGAAAATCTAAATAAGGTATCACTATTTGGCTTTGTGAGATAAGCTTACTTTGAATGACTATATTAGATCGTTCTAGTACCTATGAATAATAATTGAGAAGTAGGCAGAGACAGTAAAAAATAAAACACACTATTGCAACCACGTTTTGCTCATATTTTGATAATAAAATGCAAAAAATGTACCTGCATTGAGTTTGTCCTTTCTTTTACAAAAAACTATCCACTCGTTTTGAATAGTTTTAGATACAAGTTCTTTTACTTCAGGAAAGCGATGAAATTTTAATTTTTGAGTGCTTGCTTTTTGATCAAAATAGTTGTTATGACACCCATACACAGCACATATCATTTCCAGGCATATCTATTTTATAAATGTACCTTCTTGTTGCCCTAAAAAAAGGTAAAAGAAATGCATGCACATTTTGTATAATATTTATGTGCGTATTTTGCAATTACCTTGCTGATAAGCAGAGAACAAACGAACTCGTCTTCGTAATTAGCTAACCACGCAAGCACACAAACTTTTGAAGTCTGCTAAATTTAAAACAAAACAGTTTTCGAAGGATATAACCTGAAAATAATAATTTTTCATGCTTGAAAATGCAAGGAAATTGCACTGTCATAATAAAAAACAAACCGATCAAGGACTGCGTGACGTAACTCGCATTCCTCCATGTTCGATATTTTTATGAACGTATGTCTTATGGGATTAAGAAATCCTGTAGAGTTTACGATTCTTGACCCCTATCCGCTAAAAATGACAGCATATGACAATTTCAGGTCTGTCGTTGTCGTTTTAAGGTTATGTTATGGCCAACCAAAGATGATACACACCAAGAATCGTAAACTCTACAGGATTGCTCAATCCCATAAGACAAACGTTCATAAAAACATCGAAGATGGCGGTATGCGAATGACGTCACGCAGTCCTTGATCGGTTTGTGTTTTTTATGACAGTGCACTATCCTTGCATTTTCAAACGTAAAAAAATTGTTATTTTGAGGTTATTTCCTTTGAAAACTGTATTTTGTAATTAATTTATTGATTTTAAAATTAGCAGACTTCAAAAGCTTGTGTCCTTGAGGTTTGAGTGGTTGGCTAATTGCTAATTAGAAAGACGAGTTTGTTTGCTTTTGTTTATCAATTAGCCAAACATATTGCCAAAAAGTCAAAAAAACGAAGGGACTGGAGTCAAGCTGGCCCCCGGATTCGTTTCAATGTTTTTATTTGTGTATGAAAATGAGCACAATTCGCATAAATACTGGCACAATTGAGCACAAAACGGGCACAATTGACTACAGTTGAGAAACAGTAGAAAACCAAATGTGGGGTGCCAACTTGAGCGAGCCGGTTTAATTTTTGCATTTCAATATCAAAATATAAGCGAAACGGGGTTGCAATAGTGTGCTTTATTTTTTACTGACCCTACCTAGGTACTTCTCAATTATTATTCATTAATTTAATAGGTACTAGAACGATTTAATATGGACATTCAAAGTGAGCTTATTTCACAAAGCCAAATAGTGATACCTAATTTAGATTCTCATAATCATATTCCAGAAAAACATTGCAAGTTTCCCATATTTTCCATGCGTTTTCATAGTAAACGCGCCAGTAAAGAAATTTATTTACATATTTATTTATTCACTCTTCACAAACCCTAATTTTTATTAGTAATTACATGCAAAGAAAACTTACAACTAAGTAGATATTTGATTTATAAAAAAAAAGCAAAACAAATGCTTGACTAGGAAATACTAACTAGCAATACACACAAATAAAAGAGCGATGTCCTGATACAACAAATCCAGTATTATAAAACCAGAAAATGCTTGGGGTTTTCGCGAGTATTTTCAGCCACGAGTCTTTTATGCTTACACACATTAAATGAAACTTTAAATTTACACTTATAACACTAGATAAATCCGAATTTACGATAAAATAGTTGTCAGCACAAACTAAACATCATTCGTATCAGCGGCCATCTTGAAAATCCGGCATGCGCGTGACGTCACAGCAATTGTGAACAAATTTAGCCGATTGAGCAATCCTGTAGAGTTTAGGATTCTTGGATACACACCTATAGGATTGCTTATCGGCCTCGTTTTTGCTAACAGCCGCCATATTGGTGCGTCACCATTTCTGACGTCATAACTAAGTCGTCAGCTGTTTAAACAGCCTACGTCAAGGCGAGAAATTACATGCTGTCTACGTAACAACTGGTGATTTGGTGGGAAGGGGAGATTTGGCGGGGTGAGGAAAGGATTTGGCGGGGGGAAGGGGGATTTGGTGGGAGAGGGGGGTTTGACGGGGGGAAAGGGGATTTTTCCCATACAGGTTTTATGAGGATAGGCTATCCTGTAGTAGTAGTGTGTATCATCCTTGATGGCCAACAGCAGCCACAGGTTCGATGTTCCTTCGTTCCATCATTAATTTAGTAAATGTTGGTTTTGTATTTTGTTTTTTTTTTATTTTTCGCCATAGAATTATGTACACTTTTTTGTTTTATGATTTTAAATGTCGATATATCGATATATCGATACTTTTTAACGATATATCGAATGCTCGATAAAATATATTACAAAAATATCGATGTAATATATATCGATACTTTCTTTCGATATCAGCATCCCTAGCTTCACCGTACTTATTTGTAAGTGGAGAGTAGCAATTAACCGCATAGTTGAGGTAAAAAAGAGTGCAAAGTGTGCGCTAAAGTAGCATTTGGTATACAATCAAAAATCCCTTCTCTTTCAATATTGCCTTTTTTTGGAGATGTAGTTGCTCATAGGCAACATTTTGAACCTCACACATGCGGAAAGTGAAAGTTACCGCCCTTAAAGGGGGTGCGCGCCAAAAAAACAACTTCATCTGAAAAAAAAAAGAGAAAAAAAATCTAAGAATAACACAGTGAAAACCGCACCCCTCTATGACAAATAATACCGAAGATATGGCTCTATGATGGTACCGAATCTCACCCTATGACGTCACGAAAGCTCAAGCGACGCACGAGAAAGTGAAGTAAATTGAATTTACATATTATGTTTTTCCTGTGTCACCTGCAATAATCTAAACAGAAACCACTCACGCGTGCCGGGAACAATCAAATTAACAATGCGCGGCTGAACGAAGCTCTCGTGACGTCACACACAATTTAAAGCGGTATCTCAGCGATGGTTTATCGTAGAATAACGAGGCTTGAACAGTTATTCTTAGATTTTTTTACACTAAAACTTTAATTTTTGGCGCACACCCCCTTTAACGGTTAGACTGAAATCCGCTCCATGTCGTTTGGTCCACTGCCTTTGCCTACGGTAAACTTTCACTTTCCGCATTTGTTAGGTAAATACCAATTTTTCATGTGGTAATTTAATCGTTTTTCTCTCGTTGGGAATAATCAGAACCTCTGTGCAATTTTTGACTCTCCGAAAGAAATCAGTTTGTTTTTTATAACGCACGCTCAGTTATCGAACGCCCCCCCCCCTCCCAGTTTTTGATGTCCGTTGACAAATGACGATCCCACTTCTAAACTTGTCAATTCGGGCTCGGCAGTAGTTTTAACGCTGAGAACTTATTCTAATTATTAAACTATTGTGAATCTAAACGATTAACACGAAAGCTCATCCAAACTATGGCTGCAGAACCAGAATTGCTGCCATTCAAGTGTGTGCTCGTAGGAGATGGTGGCATCGGCAAAACCAGCTTCATAAAACGCCATTTAACTGGTGAGTTTGAGAAAAAGTACCAAGCCACCCTTGGGGTAGAGGTCCATCCCTTAGTTTTCTACACAAATAAAGGCCAAATTATGTTTAATGTTTGGGATACCTCCGGCCAGGAGACATTTGGAAGTCTCCGTGACAGTTACTATGACCAGGCGCAGTGCGCAATCATTATGTTCGATGTCACCGCTCGAGTAACTTATAAAAACGTTCCTAACTGGCACAAAGATATAGCCAGAGTATGCGAAAATGTCCCAATTGTACTATGTGGAAACAAAGTGGATATACAAGACAGAAAAGTTAAAACTCAGAACATTTTGTACCACCGCAAACATAATCTTGAGTATTATGATATCTCGGCCAAGACCAAGTATAACTTTGAAAAACCGTTTTTGTGGCTGGCCCAGCAACTACTTCATGATCCCAACCTCGTGTTTGTAACCATGCCGGCTCCTGTCCCACCAGAGGAACGCATGGACCCCTCGATGAACCCACAATGGCAGCAAGAACTTGGAAATATCCTGGACGAGGTCCTGGAACAAGCCGAAAACACCGCCTTGCCCGAAGAGGATGATGAGGACATTTAATTTTATTATTTACTTGTTTTTTTTTTTTTTCATCTGTTCGATAATACCTAGAAGTTAGTGTTAGTGATAGATAAATAGTTTAATTCTTTGAGGATATTTAATTTTATTGTGTAAGCGTTTATTTTATTATTCTGTGCGATAATACCTAGTAGTTATTAATAGATAGATAGTTTATTATTGAGCTTATTTCAGTGGCGGACCTAGGACCTTTGGGGCCCGACGCAAAAATTTTTTTTGGGGTCCTGTCATGCTTTTTTTTAGGGATTTTTCTTGTGGTGTTGGGCTGTAAAGTGAGTGCGCGGAAGTTATTTATATTTTTGAAGTTTTTAACAACCAAATATAGAAATAAATTTAATCAAAAAAACAAGTTTATCAAGAACATATGAGACAGAAAACAAGTTAAACGAAAAAAAAAATTATAAAAATTCAGGAACTTTTTATCTAAACAAAAAGAAATACATCATAGTAGTACCGCACTGCACTGATACTGTCCGTACTTTACCGACAAGTGCCATAAATTATCTGAGTCTGGAAGACAATAGGCAATTTTTTGCGAGGATAACCAAGCATAACCTTTTGCTGGATTATATGATGTGTCATTTGTGTCATACTCCCCTAACTCCCCCACCATCAAATTCTGGGATACTCGAGGATCAAGAACACCTAATTTCTTCTGAGAGAACAGACCGAAAATCACCTTTTCTACATTTAAAATCGACGAAAAAATTAACACTAGCACAGCCTGAATCGCAAGCATTCCACCGAGGTCTGCGGGTGACGTCATCACTACAAGCGGCTGATAGTAGTGACGTCACTCGCAGGCCCTGAATTTGATGTAGAGGAAGTTAGGGGAGTATGATACAATTGACACATCACATAACCCAGCATAATCAGATTATGCTTGATTATCCTCGCGAAAAAATGCCTAATAGCTAAAAAAGCCGCCTAAAGTCGACGCGTTTGCGGTTGCCGCATTATCGCGTCGAGTGCATCAGGGCTGGGATCACGACATTCTACTAGAATTTCTCTTTTATGACGTCAGGTTGCCTAACAATTGTCATCATCGCCTGTACTGTACGCGATAAATGTGTCGCGAATGACGTCATGGAAGTGGAATTCTACTTGTCCTGATTCCAGCCCTGGATTCCCTACAGGGCCTTTATTGTCGAAACAGGAGATAAGCGTTCTGTCTTAGTTGCCCATATTTCTATTTCCATAACACTGACAAAGACAGAGCAATCGTTCTTTCTCGTGAGAACGCTGTTCCCCGGTTTCAAGAATAGGCATCCTGGTATACAACGTTGCCGTCTCTTTCCAAATTTAATTTTCGTTTTTTTTTTTTATATCTACGAGTTTATTTTTTTTTTATTTGTTTTTATCGGTCCCTTTGGAATCTGGTTGTGTGGGGGCCCCCCAGCTCTGGGGGCCCGACGCACAGTGCGTCGTTTGCTTATTTCAAACTGAAAATAAAGGTTTTTTTTTCCAATTTGACGTCATATTTTTTTAATGTGAAGTAATGTTTCCTAGTCCATTTTTCCAAATTTTATCATACTCGAAGCTTGCTTGCTGGAGGACTGTTCTCTTTTATTTATTTATCAATATTAGTATGGCCAGAGGCCAAAAGTGAAACAACAGACAGCGCAAAACCGATTGGCAACTGTACAAAGGTATGCATGTCTTGGAATTGCAGGAGCAATTAACAGATGTCCAACCGCCGCAATGTAGGTCATGTTGGGCCTTCCCAAATATAATAGTGAAAAAAGGCCTACATGGGAGCCATAAGAATAGCACCAGTCCCTAAAACTGAAGGAATTATTTTTTATTTATTTACCAATATTAGTATATGGCCAAAGGACAGGTTGCCCACATACGACATGGCTGAACTCCTAACGATAGGGCAGGTGTTCTGGTCAGTTTTCATGCCGTTACTTTGTTTTAGAAATGTGAAAATCAGAAATGTATTGCAACATTGCCTATCTATCCCACCACATATTTCAAATGGGAAAATGAGTTTTATGGACCAACAGATGGAGTCCACTTTGCCCTGTAGGTAATGGCCATTGGCCAACATCGACATTGAAAATTTTCAACAGCTCGCACTAGCGAAAGCAACCAAGCCGATGGCATGTTGCAGCTTATACCCAAAATATGGTGTTTTTTTCTGAGAGATGTGAACGAGAAACCTGTAGAGTTTGTTAAAGTTTCTGAGTATTCAGCAAAACTCTAGGCTGGTCTGGAAGCTTCAGGCTGAGAGTGTGTGTCGTAGGCTCAGGTCAAGTGCCGCAGAATCCAGTGGTGTGCGCATCATAGGAAACCCTGAAATATGCTTATTTTGCTATTTTTTATAGCAGAATGGAATACTTAGAGCGTATTGGCCTATGGTGGCTCGTGCCACTTATAGGTTCAAACGGCCCTTCCTATTATTGGCTTGGAGTAGGTAATGTTCACTCTCCTTTAAGGATACTAATAGCAAGTTAACAAAATAAATATTACTGGATTTTATAAAATTATAAGGCATCTAACATCTGAATACATCTACGTCTTTAGTAGGGCACCTACGTATTTTAGGCTCTTGGAACTTATAATTTACGATCAAATATGGGTGCTAATGCTACAATTTGAATCGTTATATTTATAGAAACATAATTATGTGATTTTGCTGCATGTATATCCGTCTTCAAAAGATCTAAATAACATTAGAGAGATTTTTACTTTTTTCCGGTAGCAAGTAATGTAATGCCATGTAGAACAAGAATCAATTTTTAAAAAGAAAATTTACTGGCATACCTACCATGCACAGGTTGAAAAAGTGTTCCATGAAATTATTTTTTCATAGTTTCTGAATTGTTGAAACACGTAATGTTTTGAAATTAGGTGATTTCAAGATTACATTCAATTTTTTTTATAACTGGATCGGTTACAAATATTCCTGTTGAAAAATGTTCCCAGTTGATGTGCCTATTTTAAAACAGAGAAATCCTATCAATGAAAAACAACTATTATGTACAATCCTTGATCAAACCATTACAGCAAACATTTACTATTCACAAAAGGTAAGGGTTTTTAGGTCTTCAAATTAAAACTTAATATGGATGGACATGTCTTACTAACCCAATATTAAAAGCCCCTTTATTTTATAGGTTTAGAACTCCTGATTGCATACTGTTTCGGGAGCCGATGATCTGCTTGGACAAAATGTTAATCAAAACCCAATGTTGACAATAAACTTCACGCTTTTCGGGAGAGTGTTTATTGAGGCTTTTGATATTGAAATGAGTTGCCCCTCCTCTCTGCTATTGAGTTTATAGATAGGAATTATGTTTATAGTACTAATAACTAAAAACTGGAAACTATCGATTTCGTGAGATAACAAACAAAAAGTCACTTGTAATTCCGAGCGTTTACGGAAAAATAGGTTAAGGGAAGTGGAAACTCAATTAGTATACCAATGATTTTGTTTATATATTTTAAATAAAAAGAAAGTGTTTAATTCACAAGCATTTTTTGGTTGGGATGAAAAATTCTCATCCGTTATCCAATAATTATTCGATTAAACCTCGTCCACATTAGCAAAAATTTCAGTCATGCGTGGCGTTTGGCATACATTAATGTAGCCGATACAAATTTTTGTAAATCGTGGATCTGTTTACGGTTCAAGAACGCGACCTTCAACGCACGGAATCCGTGGTTTTTCGGTATTTCTTAAGACAAGTTTCTCTCCATCCATTCTCCACCAAATATGTCATATGCTTACTTCACAGGAATGACATGGGAGTTGTAGCTTGGAGGGTCTCCTTCAAAGATGTCACACGCGAGGGACGATGAAGGGAAACTTGGTCAAGTTACCTATATAAAAATATATCTAAATTTCTCCCATAAGACCCTACATAAATCCTAACCCTAGAGGATGCATGTCTCTTCAACAGTAGAGTCTTCACAGGGGCACACGTCAACGTTACTTAGGACTGTTGATTTCTATTGCTACGCTGAATGCTTTTATACTCGTATCTTCATCTAGAGGGGCTTTCCCAAATTGAGGCACTGGTACTAGATGGAGATGCCGGGCACTGGGGAGACCTGAGTCCAGAGAGGCTTTCCCAAGTAGAAGTACTGGCACTGGTTCAAGTCTGCCTTTGATGCGGCTTGAATCGCAATTTATATCCGTTTCTTGCTTATCTCATCATAATTGACTACGTGAATTACGTCCTGTATTTCGTATTTAACTCATTACTGAATTGGTTCAGTGAGTTATGTTCCTCAACAGACTCCTATGTTGACAATTAATATTAAATAATACTTTTTGGTCACTGGCTCTCGTACAGCGAATAATTAATTTAATTACTAAATGCATAATTCAGATTGTATCATAAAAATATGTAAATAAGTGTGATAAATATAAATAAACAAAGCATAAATTATACCCTAAATACCCGAACATTTCATTTCTCTTGTTTGAACCCCTTTTCATAATTAACTAACTCGTTGAGGGACGCCGTAAAAAGCTCTGTTCTTTTTTCCTCGCTCTCGCTAATTTCTCGTTTTGATTTCATTTTGGGTACCTTTGAGGCGCTCAGTTTAACTTTCTATTCCGAGATTTTGTCTACTGATTTTAAAACTTTGATCAAATGTGCAAAAAAAAAACACAAATTGGGTAATAAAGATTACATGAATCTCAACTGACTATTTTCCGCTTTGTTGTTAAGCCCGAGAAAGAAAAACGAGAAGATTGGGTTGGGTACGGTTTTTGATAAAAGCGATAAGTGAACTTTTATAGCGAGTTAACAAGTCAGAAACCGAGGGTTGATTTCTAAAAAAATTGACTTTATTAACAATCCGAAATTATTACCAGCGAAAGCACGGTACAATAAAGGTTATAATTATAATAAATTTCAACTGACTGACTATCCTAGGAAAATACATATTATATTTATAATAAGCTGAAAAGCAGAATAAGCATTTTAAGTGAGGACTCAGCAAATAGACGTGATAAAACTCCCTTCTTAGCTTCAACTTCCACACTAGCGGGGGAGTTGAATACTCCGGTTTTTTTTCTGGAACGGGATTGGACCTCTTCTTCTTCATGGCGGTTTTTACATATTTCAAGTAAACCAAGAAGATACAGGTAATAACGATGAGGACATATATAAGGATTGTCCCAAGGCTGGGCAATCTATTGATTTCGGTGAAACTCAGTTGTGGGCGTATGTCCATTACTTCTTTGCTCAATTGGTGAAGGTCGTCTAATTTCAAATATTTCAGATGTCGACTTAGATTGAGGGTCGGCATCATGGCGAGTCTATTTGGTATGTCAGGAAACAGTATCGGTTGAATATCAGTCTTGATTATCCTATTTTCATTGATAACTATTTTGGAAGCGGTGGCCACTTGGCAACCAATCGGTATTTGAAGCATAAATGTTCCAATGATGTTTTGTACTTCTTTTTGTTGAGAGCACTTGAGTTGGATGGCTTCTTTGATAGGAACAACCAATATCCA